ATTCAAAACATAATGAAGCAGAAGGTTGAAGAATCGTTCTGAATAATTATTAATAAAAATAAAAGAAATCGATACTTTCTTAATACACTTTAATCTTCTGTTAAAAAGTGGTCATCGACGTGGATCAAGAACAATTGTGTTAAGAAAGAATCACACTTCAATCCTAAACATAATGAAGCCAAGTTTAACCACTCACTTTTTCCACAGGGCAATAGGAAGTTAAGGTTAAAAGGGCAACTTTTGTTTGTCCCTGTATAATGATCAAACCATCAGCTTTCATCAGGACCTTATATTCAAGAAAATATTCCGAAACATGAATATACGGTTTGGTCGAAATTTCACCAAAATCGGACAAGAATTAAAAAATACTTCATTCGAGAAAACAGAAAAATACATAGGTACATTCAGTTGTTTTCATTGGAAATTAAATTAACTGATGCGGCTACTAGATTCATACTCAAGAGACAAATACATTCGATTGTCATTTTGAACTTCTAAACCAGGCAGCTCGACCTTTAAATTTCGAAAAGAATTGCCTGAAGCGCAATTTTGCTCATATCAGCTTTCTCAAATTTCAAACTCATGACGACTCGTCACTACAAGAAATATACATTTTTAACAATTCTGTTCTTTTTTTTCGATCTTCAACCTCCTTTAACTCTAGGGTTGGAAAATTTTCTCAGTGAATCAGGGCCCCATCAACCCTCGTTGCACCGGGGCCCCGACACCTCTCGCTACGCCACTGGAAAGAGGGTACTATAAACTAGTTGCAAAATTGATTCTTCTTGAAATATTGAATGATAGAACTGAAGAACCTAGATGGAGGTCGATGGCCAGTTGGTATGTATATTATACACCATTGAAGTACATATAGGTACTATTACTATGAAATTATAATGAACTGGGAGGAGAGTGTAGCACGAAAGTCCAGAATGGGGTTAAAATTGATAAATTACAACCAATAGAACATACTTTTATTTCAGATGGAACATTTTTGCTTACACAAGAGTGGTAGGGAATAAGTATAGTTGTCTAATATGTAGGAAATAGTATGATGAATTTTCTATACTTCAATTGAGATGAATTATAAGATTTTCCAAGACATACGGAATAGTAAACCATAAAATATGGCTAAACACTGTACACTGTACAATTTACTTATCTGAAAGAATGTAAAAGTGACTACAAAAATCTGAAATGTGGTGTACCACAAGGCTCGATCCTGGGCCCCACTCTCTTCTTAATATACATAAATTCCATAGCAAACTTGGAAATCATTGGAGATGTTATACTATATGCTGATGATACCACAATTGCATATTTCGGTGAAACTCATAGCACAGTTATCGAGAATATCAAACAAGACTTATCACAGCTGACGAAATGGCTACTCTGCCACAAACTTACATTGAATATTAAAAAATCATCTTTTATGTGGATAACCACAAGCACTGTACCTGATTATGTTAAGAATGAAATAACTTGTCAAAGTGGATCACTTCAATATAAAAATGAAATTAAGTTCTTGGGACTGATAATTGATACAAAACTCTCCTGGCAAGCACATCTAGAATATATTAAAAAAAAAATTGTTGGGCCAGTGGGTATTCTGAGAAGATTAAGCTACACTGTCCCAAGTTACATTCTGAGATCTGTGTACTTTTCCCTAATACATTCACATTTGCAATATCTGACAATAATTTGGAGTAATACATATGAGAGTTATTTAAAACCACTTAAAATCCTGCAAAACAAATCAATTAGAAACTTATATAATCTGCCATTAAGATATTCAACTTTGAATCTTTATGAGAATTACAATATTAGATCACTGGGAAGCTTATATACTTTTCAAGTGAATGTATTTATACATCAGATAGTAAATAGTGCTAGACATTCACAAATTACATTCCAAACTAGAGAGGAAATTCACAGATGTAATACTCGAAACTGTAGAAATTTTCAGGTCCCAAGAGTAATGACAAACTATGGAATCAATTCAGAGCTGGGCAGTACTCGAGTACAAGTACTCAAATAATGTACTCTGAGTACATTTTGTGTACTCAGTACCCAGTACCCGAGTACATTTTCAATAAAGTACCCGGTACTCGTACCCGTAGCATTTCGGGAAAAGTACCTGGTACCCGCGTTTATTAAACGAGTACATTTTCCGGGTACTTTTTGCAAGAATAAACTTGTCTGTGCATATGCGAGTGCAACACGGGAAACCGCTGTTATAAGTTATATCATCATTATCAGTCAGCACTTAAATCAGAACCAAACGCGGAGTTTTTGTTTTGTACACTGTGTAACAGTTATAGAGTCAAGTGTTTTTTTGTATCGTTTCTGTTGTTTTCTTAAGACTAAAACACACTGAACTGAGAGGTAAGGGTATAGTATTGCAAGTTACGTTGTTTTGTTTAATAAATATGGTTACTAATACTGATGCAAAATTTCTCAATTCTCTATTCAAATGTACTTGAAATGAGTACCCGTGAAATTCGGGTACTTGTACTCGGAGTACTTTACTCTGAGTACATCCAATGAGTGGGGTACTCGGTACTCTGTACTCGTTCTTCAATTATAAACAGTACCCGGTACCCGGTACTCGAGTACAATTTATCAGTACCCGGCCCAGCTCTGAATCAATTCAATATTCTATAAAGGAGCTACAGAGTACAACAAAATACCACAAAATATAAGAAAAGAAAGTGTAAAAAAATTCAAATATTTGTTGAAGTCTCACATTCCACTTAAGTTATGATTTATGATTTGTACAGCTAGCATTAGGAGATTAGGAGTTTGGATTAGAAAGGAAAACAATTAGATACTTGTATATAGCATATATTATAGTTCAGTGGAAAAGGTTACCCATATATTACTATTGTACCAACTACGGTATATTCACTAAATTGATAACAGGTTTTAATCAATAATCTAATTATTGTGTCAAATATTATGTAATATGTGAAACTGACTTGTAACTAGTAACAGAGGTGTTCCTAGATGACATTTTTATGTTTTTTGGAACGTAATAAAAATTCATTCATTCAGCCTTCATTGTTGGTTCGAATCTGGCCAATAATTCAAGCAATATATGGTGCACGGATTGAGTGTTCTTGTCCTGTCAGCATACTTTGGCACCGCAGAATTTTTTCAAAATCCATTATAAGCTGTAGAGGTCCCGCACATCTCAACTACGCATAAGTTCAGACTTGGTATTTCAAGTTTGAAGAAGTGATACCCGAATGATTCAATTTGACCAACTTTTTGATTTTATGTCATGTACGTTCGTGTACTGCCAGTTCACACTTTTTCGATCAAATTATTTGTGGTTGTCTGACTGTCAGTGCTTGCCATAGTGTCCGTACTCTCAATTCGCGATAGAAAATAACACGTCGCTCCACCTGACGGCAACATTTGAACACTTCAGAGGGGTTTGTTCTGATGGATGTGACCAATAAGCACAAACAAATGTCAACCAATGAAAACATACCGCTTTGACAGCTTTCAAAAACTGCGATAGATGGCGACAATTATTTTCTGTCGCAAATATACAAAAACGTCAAAAAAGCAGTGTTGAGAGCTCTAGTTCTATAGTATGATTAGGTTAAACTTTCATTTTGTTCAATAATTGTCGTTTTGCATGAAGAACCTAGTAAATAGACAAATGACCTCCTATCCATTCGTCCGTGTGTACTGCATGTTGACTGCATATGTCAGCTTGTGTAAATCCACTACTAGTTTCAAAACACATTATTTATCATGTTTTGTTTAACTGGGAAATCAATATGTCCTCTGAAATGCTCTGATTTTGATTCTTATTTTGTCAGGAATTTAAACATTTTCCTATGAAAGTGTGTGCTAGAAGTGAAGAGTATAATACATTTATAAAGCACGGTGCTGAAGACTGTTCCCTCATTTCTTGCATATTTCTCTCAGGAACTAATACAGCTCTGCTTAGAGGAATGTCTTATGTACCTTGGTATAAAATTACTATTTCAGTATTGAATAACTACATCAATGTTTAACACCGAATGATCAGAAATAAAAGGAACTGATGAAAAAAAAAAGTAGATGGTTCTACGAACAAGAAACGTCGCGTTGAGAAATCAATATCACCACGTTAAATCTCATGAAAAGTTGCTATGGAAAAGTATCTTCAGTAGAAAAAAAAGATTTTCCAAAAATTCACTCTTTTCGATATAACTTGAAAACTGAAAACAATTTTGAAAATTTTCGAAAGCCGTTAGTATGAACCTCTGAATGCGCAACTTTTCTCTCATTTAACCGAATTCGTATCTCCTCCCGTTTCCGAGGTCCACATGCTGTGCAACCTTATCTTGGTCACACACTGTATACTCGCCTTCTAGGTTTTTCATTCAACGTTCAGCTTTAGGGGTGCGTTCTACTTGAGGGTTCACAACGAATATAATTAGTAGTAAGACTGTAGTACTTTAAAATATTCGGGTTATACATCGATAACTCGTTGCATAAATTCAAAGAGTGCCAGTCTGACAGTTGAAATAATCCGACCGCGAAGCCACATTGTCGAATCAATTGAAGAAAAATTGTTTTTCATGAATTCCTGTCCGTATCGGGAGTATAACTCTAAATATTCAAAGAAAATCACAAAAGCACACAACATAGTTGCCATGATCCTATCATTCTATTGTTCAATTTGTTGTGTGTCAACCAGGGAATCAGGCGCCGTATTAGGTTTGTCTTAACAGGATGTCTGGAAAGGTCATGTCGTAATTGATTGAGCTGATACAGTGAGTCAAAATAATTCTAGTACTTCATATAAAAAAATATCTTCCGTACTTCGTTACGGAATCATTGACCATGTATTTCTCAATAAAAATACGCAAGCCCGTATGCGCAGAACCGTTCTAGTGCGGTTCTGATGAAAACTAGAAAAGTTGATTCTATTCTAAGTTGTATTGCTTGATAGAGAATGGAACAAAAGTTGAGATTTTGTACTAGTGAGTTTTTTTAAGGTCCTTCGAAGCGTGAGTTGTTGGTCTTGTGGATTTTTCGAGTCGGACACGGTTGAACAAAGTATTCACGAGGCATACATTGACGCAATAACGAAAGCTCAGCATTATATCTACATAGAGAATCAGTTTTTCATAACTCTATCCTATAATAATCCGAACACCAGGAATCAAATCGGAGAATCCTTATACAAGAGGATATTACGAGCATACAAGTGAGTAGAAGGACATTTATCATTAGATTTTTTCATTCAACTTTTGACTTCCCTACATAAGAATAATAAGTGATAGTTCATCGGAACACTAATTTTGAAAGTGTTCCACGTGAATCCTTCAAGAATTATTTTTCACACTAGTGAAATAAAGTTACATTTTTCTATTTTGCATCTTCTATTGCGATACTCAACTTTTATTTTCCCAAGGTTGGTAACATCATACCTGCAAGCAAAGGTCGAACATGATATGTTCTGTATCAGAAATAAAAATTATTCATACCATTATTACATTACAATAATTGAGGTTCTGGAATGGCCACAAGAATATATGTCCATATTATCAAACAAATGAGCTGGCAGATTGATATGAAGAAGACAAGAACAGGAACAAGAATAAAAATGAAGAGTTATGCCAAAATGTATGAAAATTAGATTCAAAATTGCAGAGTGATACATGGCAAAAAAGTGCAAGACCTATAAATCTGGTCGTTGATAATGCAAATGTTGAACAAAAGAAAACTGTCACATTTTTAGGTGTCTCCATGGATGAATGTTTGGATATTTTAATGCTCGAATCTTGTCTAAAAATTATCTTCTCTTACATTTCTATGAAGAAATATACGTTTCTCATTGAATAAACAACTTTTGAACTTCTATTTTGCTTGTTTGTGGGGGTAATTCAGTAGTAATGACCGACGTGTTGGTAGCACAAAAGACAATATTACGATGTATGTTCAATATGCCCAGGAGAACTTCTTGTAGTCCGATTTTTAAGGAATGCAAAATTCCTGGTATTCATATATTTGAAATGTGTATGTTTGTTTTTAGGAATGAGGAAAAGTTCAATTTAAATTGTGACCTTCATAATTATCATACTAGACAGAGAAATAATTATTATGTACCTTTTGCAAAACTGAAAATCAGAGAGAATGCACCAAATTTTTTAGCACCACTTAAGCTTTTCAACAAACTACCCAATAATTTAAAGACTATCGTGAAGATTAACTGTTTCAAAAGCCAACTCAATGAATTCTTGACATCATCATGTTAATACTTTCTTAAAGATTATTTAACTTAAGGATGCAATAATATTTCACTGTTTTGTTCTCTTGACTATTCCTATACGGTTTTTGTAACTATCAAAAAGAAAATATAGTTTATTATTATTATTATTACAGTCTGTAATTTTTATGACTTGATAAATAATCAATCATTGATTGTTGTCGTGAAAATAGAATAATAGCTTTCATATAATTCAGCTATCACATTGAACATTTATGAGTGAATTTGCTGGTGATCAGTACTTTGTATGGTATGCTCAATTCATTATATTCAAAGGTTTGGTATATTTTGAGGTTTCCACATTCTGTAGAATTGAAATCATTCACAGCCTTTGAGAAAATTGCTCAGTTTACGAGTTGTGCAACTTGAGTCTTCCATGAACATATTTGACATTGAAAATCTAAATCTCCAATCTGTCAATAATTTTGAGTTGGAGAATCACTGTTCCCTTTTGATATTTCAATAATTGGGTATGTGTACAATTGCATGTTATGTAGAGCATCAATCAAATTCACATTGAATTTACTGATTTAATTGAATGTTTTATGAATGTTACCAACCACTTCAAATGTTTTATACATTTTGATGTTGTGTCTAAACAATTTTTGGATTGAAGATAGTGAAAATGAATAAGTTGATACAAAATAAAAAAATAATTCCTCTAGACATGAAACGTTTAAACCTAGAAATTATGTTTTTGCTTTCATTTGCATCCCATTGAAGTAGTTAAAATAAAGGACTTCGATGACGAGATGTTTCATGATTTATAGTGATCAAATGATTGTTTCAGGGCTAAAGAAGTATTCCGTGTATTTGTAATAATGCCTCTCCTGCCTGCATTCGAAGGAGAAGTAGGAGCAGCTTCAGGAACATCACTTCACGCAATAACTCATTGGAACTATGCTTCAATATCTCAGTAAGATTAAGTTATTTCAAAAAGATATTTATTTGTGATCAATTCTATACCATTCCTCATACATTTCCTTCTCTTTAGTCATTAAGTACAAATAATCTGATGGTGAATAGTAATATTTTGGAGATTAAGATTAATTGCTTATGCTGAGCTTCAAAAAATTGAATTGTAGCCTTTTATGTCGATCAAACGGTTCTGAAGGTGATGTGAGGTTTGTTACATATATTCGCGGTGACTAAAAACGATATATAGTTACTTCATTATACAAACATTGATAGTTCATTTGGACATGAAACGGTTTGTGTTATTATTTTCATTTTATTTATATTAGGGTCGCTTACGAAATATTACGATGTATAAGGGTTCTAATAGCTTTTTCCACTCGTCGCACTAGCTCGAACTTTTTCGGCACCGAGTGCGTTTTGCGTGGTCAACTGAGAATTTCAACTTTTCTCGAGAAATGATTTCCACTGGCTTTCAAACTTGCTCGATGCCCGCTCAGAGTTCGAGTTTTCAGAACTGTGCTTGTACGACGGTGCGATACACGTAACCTCAAATATCCGAGTCACGAGTGGGAAAATGTTCGGAATTTGAATAATTATGAATGTATCATTGAAGTTTATTACTATTACAATAATTTTCGAAATCATGATGAAGAAATGATGATTGAGATACAGAAGTACTTCGTGACAATACAGCGTTTACGGAAGATTCAAAATTAACTAAAAGTTAAAGAAAGCTATTCAGATGTGCAGGTATTAAACATATTTGATTGTTGATTCAGTAATGATGAAAAATACTAACTTCATAAACGATACTTCAATGCTACATCACTATCGTCAAAAGATTCAATTGAACATCATTGACAATGAACATTCATATATAAGACTGTTTCTGGCTGGTTTCTGTCAGTGTCCATAGGGAAACCACAATAAGAGGTAGATGAATCCATTTCATGTGGACCAACGGAACCAAATGTACTTTCAATAATTAGACTGTTTGATTGACAAAACATTTATACTGAAATTTCTGATGACAAGAAGGTCGCACCAACTCTCTATTTATATTGCACTGCTCCGTGCTGGAACCGGACTTTATGGAAGAATCGAGCCAGTGCCACTTGTACTTGCTCTGTGCTAGTGCGCTCTGTATATCGGAGAGTGGAAAACGCTATAAATCATCTTATCAATAAGGGAATTACATTGTTATAGTATGTTCAATTAATACCAGATGAACAATTGCAATCAATCAGTGGCCATGAGATCTGTTAAATTGTCACTAGAATCAAAACGGTGGTTGGTTGAATTTTAGACGCACTGTTTTCTAATCGTCATTATAATCATGTTCATCATGCGTTTTATTTTCAGGTAAACTAAGTGTGAAAACCCACAGAAAAATCAGAACATTCATGTAATCGTTTGTTTATTTTTTCTCTTTCCATATTATTATTGTCTCAAAAACGAGAATTTATCTCAAAGCTCATCGGCATGAGCCATTAAGCTGGACCTACACTGTTAAATCCCCAGAAACTGAAACTCCAAAATACTACTGATTTACTTCATTTTGATATAGGATATAGGTATTCAGTATAAGACGATCTGAACTTTTCAGGGGCAAAGATGCACTTCTGATTAGACTGAAAGAAGCTGGTATAGAAGATCCCTCAGAATACATCACCTTTTATGGCTTGAGGACCCATTCGAAATTGAATCAGGAACCTATCACTGAACTGATTTATGTTCATTCTAAACTGATGATTGTCGATGACAAACTGGTGATTTGTGGATCTGCGAATATCAATGATAGATCGATGATTGGAAAGAGGGACTCTGAAGTTGCAGTGCTGATAGAGGTGAATATTAGTCTTTGTTCACTACTAACCTAAAACACATACCAATATTGACATACAGAGTGTTCTTTACATTACGAGTATCAGCAAAGGATAGCATTTGGCAACATGGAAGTCACGGAAACCATTGCTCACCGTTAGAAAGTTGGGCGCATAATAAATACAGGGTGTTATTTAAGTGTGTGGCCAAACTCCAAGGGTGATTATTTGGGCGATTCTAAAAAGAAAAGTTCATATAAACACCTGACCTTCGTTTTCATGATACAAGTTGTTGAAGTTGGAAGTGTTGATTGTTGTTTTTCATGATTTCCCTGTATAAGCTTTCATGATGGCAAAATTTTAATCTGGTTTATGACTGAGAAAGTCTCAAAATTTCAGACATGTTATTGGCTAATCCCAATGGGTGGGTCTTTTGAGGGTACCTATGTACATTAAAATTTGGAATGAAATCAATTTTCCATTATTTCCTCAGAAACTAAGTGATATACAAAAATTTAATAGAGGGAAAGAAATATGTATTTTCAATTGTTTAATCTGATAAAAATATCGAGTTTGGAAAAACTATGACGTAGATATGACCCACTGCGACGCCACTGGAATTATTTAGGATCTAATTACACCAAAAGGAGCTTCTTGATACTGTTGATAAAATCACCAAGTTAAATTCAAAATGGAAAACAGAATTTTGAGAATTTAATTAAAAATAGTAGATTCTTTTATTTGGATCAAAAGTGACACTTTGTTTGACAAGCGAATTTTTCATTTTCGAGGCGGATCGTCTAGCGGAGCCGAGCGAAAGCAAAATTAGCGATTAAACTCACTGTATTATGTACTAAGTATTGATTGCATTCATATAAATCATTAATTCTCTCTTGAAAGATTCATAACTATGAACGTGTGACGAAGTCCATACTGCTCAAAGTGGAGTGGTAGTGTTTGAAGGAAGATTTTGAGATTTACTCCTTCATAACCATGTTTAATTCGATAGAGCATTATAAGTTTGAATACATTTCGATATTGGGTCATTCAGAGCCACTTCAGTTTTTATTTGTGTTAGATACATTTGATTGTTTGCCCTGGTATCGTGATTGTGGACTTGGTTTGCAAAATTCATTGAGGTATTACTTTTTTGCTGATTTTTCGAGACTTCAAATATATATTCGCATTGTTCAATTTGTGGAATTTTATTTAGTGGAAATATTCCAGTGACACTATCATTATAAAGTGTTGGAATTTGTTTTATTTTATTATCATAATCAAACAGGGCGTTTGCTACTCCGTTTTCTTATGTTTCGACTTTTTCTATCATTGTATATATGCAGGGCTCCTATAATTGGAACAATTTTATTTGTCATGTGTTCTATGTGTGCTTGAGTTTTTCGTCAAAAATCAGCTCTAGATACTTTCTTTTATCTACTTTCTTGATCAGATTATCTCCAATTTTAATAATGAGCTACTGTCTTTCTTTGTTTTATTTCTTGAGTAACATATATGTCGAATTCGGGCGATTCCCGAAGAAAATACGCTAGTTTCGAGAGACAAATATTTTCTAAACCCGAAATTTTAATTATAGTATGCGGTTATTGATCATTACAAAACTAGTTTTGCAGGCCGGTCCAACCGACCAAATAATCCGAGCGAGATACTGCATGTTCTGTAATATGAGGAAGGAAAATATCCCCTCTGTCTAAGGAAGGAGGTTAGTTTTTTCAAACAATCAAACCTCACTCGGTCTAAATGAACTTTCTTCCAAAAAAATAAATTCGTGCAGAACTAGTTTTGTACATTACACCAATTTCTTGTTGTTGTGCCAAATCAAAATTGATCAGAGATCACATTAACAGTGGAATCCAAAGGCTCAGTCCTTGGAACACTGTTTATTCATTACACATCCGAGATCCTAAAAAAGAAAATCTCAAGGCTCACTATCACATATTTGCAAATGATACCATTCTAGTATATTAGGATCTAACTTGACAGAATTAGAAAACTAAGTAAATTATTATAATTATCTCATATGCTGGCTCCTGGCTAATAATTTGCAAATACATGTGAAAAAAACAGTGTTCATATATGTTGTTCAAACATAAAAATGAAGAAAGTCATGAACGAGACATCGAAATAGGAGATCAGGCATTAGACAAAAATGATTGGAGAATCGGCCAAATAATTGAATCAAATCAAAAAGTTTGCAGTATTCATTTTGGTCTAGGACAGCATGGACGGTTGAAAAATCTGCAATATGAATGTGAAGGGTCCACCAAATTATTTCCCTGGACAACAAAATCTGAAATCTCGAGATTCACATCAGCTAGGTTTACATAATACTGTTATTTCGTATTTTATTCCCTCTTTATGATTATCTCGTTATCAGACAATCGAATTGCAAAGTACAAAATGAAAATTGAATGTATAACTAATGATATTCAATCACATATTTCCGAATCTGGTGTGGATGGTTCCAAGAATTTGAATTTAGTGAAGGTAGATCGAACAACCTCTATATAAAATCGTCATTTCAAGTAGCCCTTAGAACGAAATCAATTTCAGGACCGTAATATTATTTTTTCCCTATGTTGATTTATTGTTAGGATAACTCACATTGTATAATAATTATCAAGAATCTGAGCTCATATTATAAATCTATGAGAAAAACTATAAGAACTTGTTGAGGAAGTTTCTGACACTATTTCAGTTATTCCATAAGAATTGTTCTTGTAAATATAACTGACCTCTAGTATATAACAATTATCATTCATCATTTTATCGTAGATTCGGAATCAACAAAAAACAAAAAAGTATTGTTTGTTGTGTTGTATTTACATAAATTAAAATTGATTAGTAAGCAAATATAATTCAAGAAGAATTTAGTCCAGTCCGTTTTGCACCAAAATCCCATACGATTTTTTCAGTTGATTCCGTACGATCAGATTATTGTTAATTGTTATACTAGGTCAGTTATAGTTACAAGAACATGGCCAGGCTAACCACGTTTATTGCATGCGTTTTGACATGAAAGGCCTAGTCATAGGTAAAACAAGCAGCTTAACGATTTCATGTCACTAGAAATGCAATTACGTCGTTGGTTCGATAATTAGATATTATTATAAACATACTAAATCCCATTATAAATTATTTAAAAACCTAGAATATCAAAATCAATAGATTCCGGGGAAATCTTAATATTGGCTGCCTTCCGTTAATTTTTAGGTTGTTATATATAATGCTCATGTAATATTGTTCAGAGGAACAACATTGATATAGTATTTTCCCTTATTCAATAACAAATGCCATGTTAGTGTCTTCGTCTTCCTCCTTGGGATAATAAATCAATGATTACTTCTTCGATTCCAAACTGATACTTCCGATGAAACTATAGTTTATTTGTCTTCAAGGATGAATCTTTCGATGATGGAGTGATGAACAACAAGGCTTTTCCTTGCGGGAAATTCGCCGGAAGCCTCCGGAAGTACCTTTTCAGAGAACATCTCGGTATTCTCGACAACGACACGGATGTCTTTGACATGGACATAACGGATCCAGTCGCAAATCATTTTTACAAGGACGTCTGGTACAAAACTGCCTCTTTGAACACCGAATTCTACGAGAAGGTTTTCCATTGCTTGCCGACGGATAGCGTTAGGAGTTTTTCTGATTTGAAGAAGATCCACGAAGAGAAGCCACTGTGGGTGGATGAGATCTCGAGGGCTGAGAAAATGTTGGAGAGTATACAGGTGAGCTAAAGACCATTTTTGTCTTATAACCACCAAATTTTGAAGAAAATTCCAATACCTGCCTCCGCTCCCTGTCCTCCCTAAGTACGCACGATGTTCTTCGAACAATATAGAAACTTTCTTTCGTGCGTTCCAAGAGATAAAAAAATTGAATTGGTTGTTGATGACACCTGTTAGATATTGATTTGTCTATTAATGCATAAGTGTAGTATAAGCAATCAAACATACACCGCTTCCATTCTTGGTATTATTACTTACGGAATCTACATTCAAAACAAAATTATGGATTTTATGGAAGATTTTACACGTAGGTAACCTTCCAACACCTTTAAATTTTTTTGGAATGTATCCTCTTGATTCAACTTTCAGAAAGGTCATCAGTTGGGCTAAATGCTAATATATTAATGTTTTCTTTAAAAATCAATGTTGATTTCAGCTGTGATTATTTGGTCCATAGAGTATTTGCACAAGATTTATCAGACTGAAGTAATGTAAAATGAATAAAAAATACTTATATTTTTCATGAGATAAACTTACCACTTTCTGGAAGTATGCCGTTAAGTCAGTTTAATTTACGGTAATCACTTTGTTTTCATCTTTCCATTTCAAAAAATGGTCATACTCCTTCTGTACGTATTTTTATTCCACAAATAGTAAATTTCCTAACGCTTTTTCAGCTTTGAGAGTCACATTCTGTGGGGTGTCTATAATTATTGTGAGAACAACCGTTTTTAGTTTCCTTCACTAACAATTCTTACAAAACTGCAGCGTCGTTTTATTGACTGAGGTGGTGCGACGGTGCCACTATATTTTCCTTGTCGTCAGATATGTCATAATTGCTTTGTCAATCATAAAGTCAAATTATTGATGACAGATTGATTGTACATTTGGTTTTGCTGGTCCACATAAGATGGATTCATCCACCTTTCGTGGTTTCTCTGTGAGCACTACCATCTTCATCATTACTGAATCAGCAATTGAATGTTCTAATATTTGCACATCTGAATAGCTTTCAATAACTTTAAGGTGATTTTGAATTTTCGGTGAATGATATTTTCGTAACAAAGTACTTCTGTATCTCAAACATCATTTCGGAAATTATCGCAATGAACTTCAATGAGACTTTCATAATCATTCAAATTCCAAATATTTTTCCACTCGATTATTTGGACCACGCATAAAGAGCTCAGTGCCGGAAAAGTTTGAGATAGTGAGACGAGTTTCAGTAAAAATTATAAATCTTTCAAGTGTTTATTTATATCCATATTATCAATTTGTTTCATATTCGGCGGATCCGAACTACCCCCTTCGATTTTCATGTACTGATTTCAATGGTGAACTTCATAGAATTCATTCAAATATATGAAATAAACTTGTACCAACAATTTCGAAGTTTGGCATGAATGAGAAAGAGACCTAATCTACACACAGTAATTAGCAAATCGATATATTATAGGGAAGAAAATTGAAGATATATTTTTGTATTCTAGGGTCATCTTGTTCTCTTCCCACTCAACTTTTTGTGTAATGAAGAGCTTACTCCTGCTGCAGCTTCGGTCCATGGTATGATGCCTACTTCATTGTGGACATGAAATAACAGTTTGTTTAATAACCATTTTCTAACCTCTTTTTAACTTTTTAAGATATATAATTCTACTTATACAACTATAGTTAAAAATTATAAAAACACAATTTTAATCTAAACAGAAGCTTTAACTTTAACCGTTGTTAGTTCCGTAAAGATGGGTCACGAACGATGGTACCTTAGACCTTTACCGAGAAGGGGACATAGGATCATTGTAAAAATTTTGTTACTCAAGTAGTGCTCTTGGTTTATCGATCTAAAATATTTTCAGCAATGCAGTGTTGCCGTTTATTCCAGAAAGTTGTTGCAATTCTGATATTTCAAATGGAACACTTTGTATAATAATAATAATAATAATTATGATATTGATTGTCTTTATTTGTCCTCACAAAGAAAAAAAATATACACAGAGGGCAAATAGGCGGAAGTCTAGTCATGACCAGACGAATTTAGGCAATACCTACTCAACTTTACCCCAAACTGAATTAGCATATTCTATTCAAAAGGTGCAATTTCATAACGAAATATAATTATTAGCTAAACATAACTTATCAACTCAATAATTACACGACTAGCAATACCAGTCAGACGAACTCGACAAGCGCAGTCAGCACATCATTTCGTTGGACAACCTCGACATATGTCGAGCAGCACTATATCAAGACTCGTTTCTCGATAGAACGGCTAAGCTCTGGAATGCATTGCCTGAGGAAGTATTTTCAAGAACACATAATCGCCAAAAGTTCATAGGAATTCTAACATCTACCTCCTCTCCCTATCCTTCCTAGGTACGCACGATGTTCTTCGAACATTATAGGGATTCCCTTTCGTGCGCACCATCCGATAAAAAAATACAAAAACTATATCTACAAATTTAATACGTGACTATTGGTCAAAACGGCGCACATGTCTCTGTCTTAACTTTTGATTTACTATCTATCGACAATTTATTGGATAATAATACAAAGTGGTTCGAGATTCAAAATTCTGATCACCCTGTATATGTTTCAATTAAATGTCAGAAGATAGTGAATCAAAAGTTAAGATAGGGAAATCAGAGCCGTTTTGACCGATAGTGAATAGTTTCGACACAATAAGATCATAAAGCTGAAAAATCTTGATGCACCCTATATATCTGTAATCATTCCCGCTTGGTCCCAATTGTGATGCATTGATGAAATCAGCTCTACAGGGAGCTACTACTTTCTGATATACAAGGCAACGTTACATTACAGACAATATTTTAGATCGATAGATCAAGAGCATCTACTTGAGTAATAAAATTTTCAGAATGATCCTATGTCCCGTTCTTCGTGAAGTAAGATACCATCGACCGTGACTCATCATGTATGTGCAAGTTATCAAATCAGAACAGATATTATTTTAATACTGGACACTAAGTCCAATAAGAAATAAAACTAGAACAATGGCAGAGATGTCTGATATTGCTCCCGCACTAGTTGGAGGTCGCCTGTCTTCTATATGACAAGTAAAGCATGGAAACTTATTTCAATTAAAAGTGAGGTTATGATTTTGTGTTCATTCCAGACGTTCTTGAGGTACACAAGGGCGCCATACAGTGCTTCTGAAAAGTAATGAATAAATTCACTTTTGGCCAAACTATCCATTTCTGAGGGATCACCTCATACTCGACATTTTTGTCAAATATAACATCCTATATAGTAAGGATAGTATTCAGTTTTCGTAGTCTCCATGAAATCAAAAATATATCACACATAAAGTTTCTATACAGTGCGTTCGTTATGCTCAATGCTCTCGCAAAGTAGTGGATAAATGTGTATAACATTAAAACATCAAAGACACGTTTTCATATTCAAGCGATGGCAACCCCATTTTACGAGAGCACTGAATTCAACGGACGCATGTATACAAACCCTATAGTATGTATGATATATTTTTGAAATCAGCTTTTCATTTAGATTCCATAAAAGTCATGATATAGGATGTTCCATTCGAAAAAATGGTCGCTAACCTCATAACTGAAACATGGATCATCCTATAAATTGAATGTTCCGTTATAAATGTGACAAATTGAGATTGAAAATTCACCTGTTTTAGAAGGTTCCTCAGAAATGGTCAGTTTGGCTATACATTGATTCACTTAGTACTTTTAGAAAGCACCGAGAAATATTTGGCAAACAAATGTAATGAAGTTTCCTAAGCAAACTTCGTTACTTCGAGTATGTAAACAAAAATTGGCAGCTTACATGACCAACCTCAACAGTGCAGTGATGCCAACCCGTAGGGATATTCCCTACAAGTAGGGATAATTTGCCCAAATTTAGGGTGGGCATGTAGGGATGTAGGGACAGATTATTGGATGATCCAGAATTGTAGGAATTTTTCTAAGACCATTAAATTTTTCATCAAAAGACCCACTGGATTTACTATTTTCGATTATTTTTTACCCAATTTGATTCGGGAAGCTTATATTTGAAGTTTTATATTTATTTTATATGTATATATTCAAACAAACTCAGAAATTTCCATTCGATATCACTGATAAATCAAAATTTGCTAAATCAGCTCCATAAAAATATGGTTTATTTGATTTCAAATGACTTGTAGGGATTTTTTTGCAAAAGTAGGGAATTTTATAGGTCCGTGTAGGGAAAACGCATTTGAAAAGTTGGCATCACTGCAACAGTGACATGTTTCAAACTTTCCTAGCCATTGATATTTCCCCTTTTTTTAAATACAGAAGTAAGTTTTCTCCAGTTTCTTTTCAGTATTACATGTCAATCGTTTCACGAGCATCACAAATTGAAGGAAAAAATCATAAAATAAATATAGTTTGATTAGGAAAGCCCTTTGGAATTGATATTAATTTCAATTACTGCCTATATCATCACTTAGGCCTGGTTTCATCAACAGCTTTAATGTGTGAACAATGTATAAACTCTAAAGATTTCTGCAGATGATTGCACGGAAAAGTCAAATGGAGACTCCAATTATAATCTATAACTGTCAATGATTGTTGTTGATTTCAAGAGTTTGTATAGTGGAGTGAATGAGTCTGTCAACATTGACATTTTGGCGAGACGTCTGTCTTAATATCAGATAGATCAGGGTCCATTTGAAAATATTGTTGCAAATATGCAACAAAATGCGAGTATATTGATCTTTATTATATGTATGAAAGAACAAAAACTTGTTTTTTCGTCAAGTACTGATTGATAAAAGAGATAATGAGCTGATAAGACTTCCTGAAAATCTCGGAGGCTGTGAAGGTGATATTAAAATAATAGAAGAATAGGATTTTGATGGAAATAAGAATATATCGTAGAGTTAGCTAGTCTTTATCAGCATTATCGTTATTATTTCATCAATAGCATCATCAGCATG